CAACCCGCAAACAAACACCAAGCAAACATCAGCTGCACCGGTACAATGCTCCCATCTGCCTTTAAAACACAATACAAGCACAGTTCAACTTCTCAACCATTGACCACACACACACAAAGTCTTCATTTGGAAGGCACAGAAATTTTGGCAACACAAATGTTTCATTTAAAAAAAAAACCTAAAAATCGTACTTTAATTTTTTGAAGAAAACAGGCCAAAAATGACTGAATAAAAAAAATCTACAATAGATTTTGTTTGTTTCTTCACAGGCATGTGCACAGATTTGCCCTCAGACTGTATGGATGCCCTCTTAGTTGGTGTATATGGTAATTGTATTTTACATTGCCTCTGCCATTCTGCATGTTTATTTTATGTGAACTGTTTTTATTTATCATAAAATTTTCTGTTTTCAGCTTCTGTTCTCAGACCACTGTGTCCTTAATTTTGGTACTTTTTTTGGCCAAGAATTTTCATTTCAGTGTACCACTAATCATAATGTGTTTTTTTTACTTTTTTACCTGAACCTTATACACCGACTGGCCACTTCATTAAGAAGACGTCCTTGTTTACTCTTGTTTACACTCTTTGTACATTTCATCAGCTCCACTTACTATCTAGGAGCACTTTGTAGTTCTACAATTACAGACTGCATTTTTAAACACTGTCCACTCTACTAGACACACCTACCTTGTTGGTCCACTATGTAGATGCAAAGCTAGAGACAGTAGCTCATCTGCTGCTGCACAGTTTGTGTTAGTCATCCTCTAGTCCTCCATCAGTGGTCACAGTACAGTGCTGGCTGGATCTTTTTGGTTGGTGGACTATTCTCAGTCCAGTAGTTACACTGAGGTATTTAAACACTCCAGCAGCACTGCTGTGTCTGATCCACTCAGACCAGCGCAACACCCACTAACACACCACCACCACGTAAATGTCACAGCAGTACTGAGAATAATTCACCACCCAAATAATCCTTGCTCTGTGGTGGTTCTGTGGTTCCTGACCATTGAAAAACAGAGTAGAAGGGCCTAACAAAGTAGGCAGAGACACAGATCAGCTACAGTCTGTAACTGTAGAACTACAATGTGCACCTATATGGTAAGTGGAGCTGATAAAACGGACAAAGCGTGTAGAAACAAGGAGGTGTACTTAATGAAATGACTAAATAAACAATGTACAGACCTAATCCTTTTAGAGACAATGAAGACCATTCTCAGAAACACCCAGAAAACAATAATCAGAGATTTCTGTCCAGTTCCAAAAGACGTTAGAAAACACTGTAAGTCTTTTAATCAAACATCTGCCTGTCATGGGAGCAAACTCATGATTTTGACCCATCTGCATGAATGTCTGCACCTCCTAAAAGGACCATGCCAACAAAGTTCCACTGCAAACTTGAAATACTATGAACCAGAATCAGTTCTGGGAAACACAGACCGATCTCAAATAAGGCATGTCAGTTAAAAATTAGGAAATCTGGAAGAATACTTTACAAAGTGATCCCACTGAGAAACATAAATCTCCATTACATCCAGATTAAGCCCATATTCCAATTATTTTCATTTTCTGAATGACAAATGGAAGTTTCCTGCATCCATAAACCTTTTTTTCAAGCATATCGTTTTGGTGGTTGTCTTTTGTGGGCAAAGTAAACACGGAGCATTTGTTATTCTTCGAGTAACAACTGTCCACATCATACACTTGGGAAAATTATAATCATTGCCAGCAAATTGCTGGGCTTTCATCTGGCCAACCTACGTCCAAATATCCGCAACCCTTAGCAAAGCAAAGAAAACTCAGATCCTGGGCATGCACTTTCTACAGTAATGGAGCTGCTGCTGCTGCAGGATTGGCTCTGAGCCTTTTTCAGAAACAGGACAAAAACATTCCTCCATACTACAAATTACTGTTGTATACATTTACACTGATTAAAGCTTGTGACAAATATATTGTGAAATCTATGTGGGTGAAACTGTTGTTGCTGTAATATCCACAATGGTGTTGTTGTTGATCCATGTTGATATGTCATGTGGTTTGTCACTTGTACCATTTCAGTGTCATGCCAATAAAGTTACTACATTCTTTCATAACACAAGCACTACTAGTACAACTACACCAACTGAGGGGGATCAAAATAATACCCAAAATCCATTGGAGAATAAATCTGACACAAAGTGGCCAAAATGTGTAGATTTTTCAGAAGTTCTTCTTTTGAGCCTTGGGTTTTCTAAAGGTTTCTCCCTCATGCTCATTTCTTGCCTGTGCATTAGGGGTTTGAAGCTACTCTGTGGCCAAATCTATTGTAAAAAGTGTTAAAGAAAATTTAATTGAATTTAATATTACAAAAACAGACTGCAAACCTCTTACTGAGCCTTATGAACATTTTGAATGTTCTTGTCTTCTCACATTGGAAAAAATAAAAAATGGACATAGTGGAACAGACCAAAGTGTTGGAGACTTTGTGTAGGTTGTTCCCTACAGACGAAGACTCTGAGTCCAGTGTGTATAATGATGATCCTCAGTTACTGTAGTATTAGCAGTACAGCCATATGCTTTGGCCTGTGCAAAGATGATGACATATTCTTATTATATTATTTTCATTCATCAAAGTACAAACAATGTAAATGTACCCTTGAAGGTACTACATTGGTTTTAGGCTCCAACTGTGAAAGGTACATATATGTGCCTTTTTTGTAGACTAACATTTTAAAACAGAGCAATAAAATAAAAATGTTGGAGAGAGGACATGGTGTGTGGAGTCAATCCCACTTAAAAAACATAATTTCAATGGAATATGGTACAAGTATGTTCCCTAACTAAAGGTACTGAAGACATACCCCAGAGACAAGAGAGATACAACCCCAGTGACAGTTCAGTAGCTTTTCTTAAAGCTTATGTTAAGCTCAGCAAATAAATGGAAGGAGTTTTAGAATTATGCCATATTTATGTTTGTTCTCTGTAGAGGATGTAACTCATTTTCAATTGAGAAATAAACAAAGCATATAATTTCATCAAACTTTGTTCAAACTTTCGCATAAAACTGAAGTAGTCAGGGCTGTTTCTTGCTATAAGCATATAAGCAGTTGCTTAGGGCTCCCAAGCAACCAGCACACCCCAAATAAATACATTTTAAAATATATTCAATATGCTTTGCAAAAAATAAAAATAAAATCCAGAGATTTTCTTCTTATTAGTAGTATTTATTGTTTTACTATTTGTGTATAAAATAATATGGCTGCGGTGGCTGGTGGGGCTTCAAGTACGTTGTCTTTTAGGGTGCCCAAAGTAGTAATAGTAGTAGTAGTAATACTGGCTTGCAGAAGGAGGTAGAGTGCCCTGGATCCCTCCTAAAATTGAAAATATTATCTGAAATAACGACTCGAGTAAAAGTGAAAGAATCTTTCCAAAGAAGAACTTCAGTAGAAGTATAAAAGCAGCAGCTCAACTGCTCAAAACTACTGAAAAACTCATAGAACTCCAGTGGAACGTCTTAGCACAAATTTCCAGTGGAAGATCGTAGTAAGTTTGTAAGATGGTGTTCTTCTTTTCGTGATGGCTTAATATAAAATAATAAACCTCAAAAGTCAGAGGTGTGAGACCGAGCAAGGCAGCGCAGATGCTGTCACCAGATGCTGTCACCAGTGGACCTTAAAGAGGAGGTCCACCAATTTTTTGAATCTGGAATTGGTGTAATTACACCTTGAAAAGTGTAGACAAAGTCATTCAGAGTGGTCTGACGTAAATCGCTCCATTCTAGATAAACTTACTGAGTCAGAATTGTTCACAGTGGTGGTGACAGGAATCAGATGTCCAAAGAGTTTGCTGCCTCTAAAGGCTCCCTCACATAAAGTTTTTACATATAAATTGTTACAAATATGCTGCCTGATGTCTGAGACATTGTTTTACAATAGTTTTGACCTAAAATGTTTTTTTTTTTTATTCTTTTATGGCAGAGTAGTACATGCAGAGTGTTGTAAAGCCATGTTTCCATTATTTTTCCATTATCAACTTTGCATATAAAAACATATAAAAAAGATTTTGGTTGCTTTGAATAGTAAATATAATAGCAATATTTGTCTTGCACATATTGCAACTCCTGGTTCCTACCAGCACCACTGTAAAGGAATCTGATTTAATAAGTTTCTCTACAATGAACCATTTCACATCAAACCACTCTGAATGACTTTGTTTACATTTTAACTATAGAAATGTGTACAAAAAATAAAAAATCAGTGGAATTCCACCTTAATGACAAAAATGAGCGCAGTCTACTTCCTGCTAGAATAAATGTGCTGGATGGTGTACAAACCTGTGCAGAAATCTGATATATTTGGAGTCCTGCTGGTGACATCTCATATAAATAAAAATAATGCAAGGCCACGCCTTATTAACTCATGGGAACAAGATCCTAATGCGTGGCCACAACTTAGTAAGGCATGGGAATGAGATAATTAAGTGTGGCCACGACTTAGTAAGGCGTGGGAACAAGATTATGCAATGCTGGCCACTCATTAGGATCTCGTTCCCACGCCTTACTAAGTCGTGGCCACGCATTAGGATCTCATTCCCACGCCTTACTAAGTCTTTTGTTAAGACTTTTAACTTATGGATCACATATATATTCTATCTGTCTGATACAAACACTGAAAGAGTTTTTTTAAAGCAAAAACTCTAAATGAAATACATCACCACTACACAATAACATCCATATATGATTAATGCTTTCTATTGTTAAATATATATGTTACACATATGTTTATTTATGGTATAAGGGAAATCTATATGTGCTAATATATGTCATATATTTAAAGTCTATAGTTTGTGATATACGATTTCCCTATGGGAAGACAAGCGGACTCGTCTTCGCTCTCCCACCTCGGCTCGCTGGCCCAAGTACGCCCTCTCTGCGCCACTCCGGATTGGACGGAGCCTACGTCAGTCAAAAGGAGGGGGCGCCTCCCACCTCTATATCCCCCTAATGTCAGTGTGAGTTTCAGATTGCATCCCAGCGCTGCAGAGTCGGTGACACAGTGCCGTCCAGCATCCGACACGCAGTTTACCAACGGCACCAAAGAGGAGCGACTCTGGCGAGCGTTCTTCAAGCGTTAGACAAACTTCAGACGAAAGGTCTCTCGTTCAGAAGAGGTTTCTAAAACAGCTGCAGCCTGAGGAAGGGCCAGATGTCCACCTAGCATCTCGTGCCACCTTCTTGCGTCGAGATCCACCTCTTGCAACTCGTGTTTAACTTGGAAACTCAGGAACTTTTGGAGACACTTGGACTTTTCGAGGGAGGTCTCTCACTGCTCTCCACACTGCTACAGCAGAGCGTGTGTGTGAAGTGAGTGTGTGTGTTGGGTCGTTTCTGACCTTTCCTCCTCTTCGTGAAACATGCATCACGAGCCTCTGCTCGCCCTGTTGCTGCTGCACTTCCCCGCGCTGCTGCGCGCGCTCGCGGCCTACGAGTGCACGCCGTGCGCGCGTCGCACGTGCCCGAGCGCGGTGGCGACGGCGGCGGGAGCGCGCGCTTGTGAGGACGGCCGCGCGCTTGCTCGCGACCCGTGCGGCTGCTGCGCGCCTCAGTGCACGCGCCTCGAGCTGGAGCTGTGCGGGGGGAGAGACTGGACACTAGGCTACTGCGGCCTGGGACTCACGTGCGCCGCGCTCAACCGCACCGGAGCCGTAAACATCCCCGAGATAGGAGTGTGTAAAGGTGAGTGTGAGGAGATGAAGGATATCCTGCAAGACCTGTAAGACAGGGGCAGGAACCAGAGTGAAGCAGTTTGGTGATGTCCAGCTTCTTGTTTGAATTTTCCTGTTCCACCTTAAATAGTGCAGCTGTTACATTCTGGCACTTTAGGCCTGAGGAGCTGGCGAATAGGAAGCCAACTTCAGCCTCGTATTAAAAGATGTGTTGAATCAGGTGTGCTTGAGCAGGAAAATCACCAAACTGCAGGAATCTAGAGTTCCCCACCCCTGCTTTAAGAGTCAGTTCCCTCACCTAATGAAAATCATAATTAGGCTACAAAGTTTATAAAACATGTTTTAAGTAACTAAGGCAAACCCTTTAAGGCTTACCGACTTTTCCGAATACCAGTGTTTAATATAAAGTTTCATTGTTGCTTTGGGGCAGTGATGGAAAGTATTCCATTTACTGAACCGATTCCTTCGGATTGAGTTGAAGTAACTGAATTTAGTTAAATTGAATCGAATGTCAGATCCAGCGATTCATTGTTTCATAAGTCAACTTTACTCTCATCTCCTCAATGACGTTCAGTTCAGAGTCTGCTGTCGCTAATTCTCCTCACTAGAAAATGATAGCAGCTCCACGTTACAGTGTGGATGTTTACATTTTTATGAGGCCCAAATTTAAAAGACTATTTATAAGGCTCTCCGCATGTCGCACGGATTCTATAAACACTTCGATTCAGTCGGATTTGTGAGTTACTGAAATGAATCAGCTCAAAAGAACGATTTGTGCACGAGCCACGAGACGGTTAGCTTACGGACTAACGACGTTTAAGGCAGTAAAGCTAAATTAACGAAACTAAATGCTTAATATTTGTAATATCTTACCTTCGGTTGTTTAATTCCCCGGTGTAGAGGTCGTCATTATCATCGTCCTGTGTGTTATTCTCTGGAAAACCCGAGAAAAGCAGGTTTTAATGCAGGTTTCACTAGCTACGACACTTACACGCTTGAGGTAACTTCTGTGAATTCATGTAATAAAATGGAGAGCCACGTCTTTTGTGCAACTTGGTGAACTTTACCTCACTTTCTGTTCTCTTAAGGGAGACTTTTACTTAAGACATTTTATGCAACATTAGCCTTAAACGATGTGATTGTGTGTTGGGGGGTTAATCTGACTCAGCGTTGATAATAATGCTGGAACTGGCTCTGTCCCACTGTGTTGGCTCATCTCTCGTGGGCCTGAGCCAGCTCAGCTCAGGACTCCGTCTCCAGAGTGTGTTTGGGACTGGTTAACGTCTTCTCTGTCCAGCTTTAAGTACCCATAACCTGACAGGCTGTGCGAAGAACTTTCAAATGCTGATAGACTTAAGGTTTATAGAGTTGAGTGAACACAGAATCACAGCTCATCACAGTTGGGTTAGTCTAGTGTTTCCCGACTGCAGTCCTGGATGAATCTGCAGAATTTAGTTCTCTCAGCTTGACCAAAGCACACAAGTCCTGTATTTCAGTGAAAGTAGTAATGCCTATTGTAAAATATAGTTTGAGTGAACGTGAACCTCCTCTGTTTCTAATTTTGCTTAAGTTAAAGTACAAAAACCCTTGTTTTTATACGAACTTAAGTATGGAAAGTAAAAGTAATGTGAATTATTCTAGCAATAACAATTATTTCAGTGTAACTGAGAACTGTTTCTGTTATTCTTGGGTGCTAGTGAAGATCAGTTGCCAGTTCACCACATAGTACTTTCCCAGCAGCACAACTCAGGCACAACACAATAGACAAAGAGCAGACACACACTGCACTGGTATACAGCCCTGACCTGCACAGGCAAAGCATCATTACACCAGTCTGACACTTAAAGTTGTAGCTGTACAGCTTATATGGGGGCAATAGGTCAAACAGATTAGCCAGCTGACCCTTCACTAAGCCCCAACACCCCAAGCACAATGAAAACTCCATATTTGACTATTCAGCCTGCGAAATTCTTAGTATGCATAAATACATATACAAATACAATACAAAATTTCAGAAAAGGAGAAGGCCAACACGTCTCCAATGTACATTTGAAGACTACATACACATACACATACTACATACGTCATGTTCTCTTGACAGTCCAATAATGCTCAAATTCAAACGGAGAATCTTCACTACATAGTAATTAGCTAACTTAGTCTTGTTTCTTTGAGCAGATGTGCTTGTTCCATGTGATTTTTGAGTGGTAATGCAAAAAATTCCATATACAACACTGTGACATACTGTAAAGTTCAGAAATTTTGTCAAAGGTGTGCAGGCCTAGCTGCAGTAGATAAGCTATAATTGGGCAAGCAGTCTGTGAGGGGTTTAGTGAAAGATGCACTATGATTGGTTTACTACGATCTGAATGTGCTTAATAGGATTTGGTAGTTAGGAGTTGGCAGTTAATTAATAATATACAGGGCAAACACAAATGGATGCAGCATGAGGGACTAGACAAGACTGAGGTTGGGAAACACTGATCTAAGCTACGATCAGAATCACTTTTACTCTTCTGGCAAAAAATTCTTTATTTAAAGAAGCTTTGAAAATTTGATTTTCTGCAATATTGGCCCTTATAAACACATGAATAGCCAAACTGACTATAAAATTTTTGGGTTTACAGCAGGGCTGTGTAATAAATCCTTTGTTAAATGGTAAGAATTGCGATACTGATAGGCTGCAGAAGGCTGTTATATGCAAATTAGCCATTTTTAGATCCCAGTTTTTTGTGCGTGATCATCCTAACCAATCACGGCCCCTTTTGGTATTCTGTGTATGTTTGTGTTTTAATGAAACAAGATTTTTGTAGTGTCTTTTAAATGATAGCTAGAGGCTGAACGTTAGAAGTATATTTGATTAATAATACTTTGTTCGTTTCCTAGTGAGAGCTGGTGGACAGTGAATTTCAAACAACCCATGCTTTATGACTGCCCTGCTGTTCAAAACCATAGTGCAGTGAATTTCACATTATTTTTGTGTATCAGGGCCACCACTAATGCAAAGTTGTGTTTAGTGCATGTATGTTTGGATCTGGCTTCCTTGAAGATGCCAACAGCATTGCTGCACATGGTTCATTGTGATGTCCTCTGAGTGTTATTATGGTTGCGCCTTGCTTTAGCACAACTATATCGTTATCCGATTTATATTGTTATTATTTTCTTTATTCTTATTTTTCTGCCAATTCTTTGCCGCTTAACTCGTCCCGCAGCTTTTGATGCCGATGCATGCCGATCTAAGGTACTTCTGCTTGTCCGATCGACACCGTTTTTGATACACTATCTCAGGACAGGCCCCGAAGCGTGAATTCACTTTCGTTTTGACCCGCACTCATCCGTTTGTCGTTTTATTCCATCATTTGTTCCTCCCATAGACTTACATTGAGCGGAATGTTGGCAGCATGCCAGACATGATGTCACAATTGGTCGTTAACTCACACACCCATCCAAACTCACGCACGGAGCCCAATGTCTCACCCGCTCCCAGCCTAATGCTCAGCAGTGTCAGCACACATAATGATTTTTTTTAAGGTGGAACTGCTTTTAAGGTGGAATTGCACTTAGCTAGCACAAGAACTATTCCACCGCCATACTGACCCGCACTCCTCTTTGGGTCATTTTTTCATCCCTCATTCCTCCCATAGAGCCTCATTCATTTTTACCACCACTCAAATGGTATTACTTCTTTGTCCGATAGCCACCAAAATTCAAGTACTCACTCAGGGCACATCCACAAGCAGTAATCCATAGCCGTACTGACCCGCATTCCTCTATTTGTCTTTTTTTCATCCCTCGTTCCTCCCATTGAGTCCCAATCATTTTCGCCTCACTCAAACTGTATTACTTCTTTGCCCAACAGTCACCAAAATGCAAGTACTCATTCAGGGAAGGTCCCCAAGATCTAATCCACAGCCGTCCTCACCCACACTCATCTATTTGTTGTTTTTTAATCCCTCGTTCCTCCCTTAGAATCCCATTTACTTTCGGCCAAACCATAGCCCTGTTTTTTCCATTGTGCAACAGACATCGAAATGCATGGGCATATTCCCAAGCTGTAATCCACAGCCACACTGACCCACACTCATCTATTTGTGGTTTATTCATCCCTCGTTCCTCCCATAGAGTCCCATTTATTTTCTTTCGCAACAAAGCCCTAATCTGTCTTTTTCTCAGCAGCCACCAAAGTACATGTACTCTTTCAGATCAGGTCTCCAAGCTCTAATCCACAGCCATACTGACCCACACTCCTCTATGAGTACTTTTTTCATCCCTCATTCCTCCTACAGAATTCCATAGTAACCACGGCGCAACCATTTCACGTTTCCTTTAGGAAATGCACTTTTCTAGTTCTTCTTCTTCTCTTTTATTCTTATTTTTCTGCCGGATTTTTGTCCCGTAACTCGTCCCGCAGCTTTCGAGATATCAAAACCGTTCCAACTCCAGATTGTCCGGCCTGATTGTCTGATGCGTGCTTGTATACAGCTTTTTGATCGGTTGCATGGATTCCATGTAGCAAGGGAATTTTGCGGAATTTTTTCCCATAGAGAATGAATGGGTTGAACATTTGCATGCCAATCTAAGATACTTCTGCTTGTCCGATCGACACCGTTTTTGATACACTATCTCAGGGCAGGCCCCAAAGCGTGAATTCACTTTCGTTTTGACCCGCACTCATCCGTTTGTCGTTTTATTCCATCTTTCCTCTCTCTCATAGACTTACATTGAGCGGACTGTTGGCAGCATGCCAGACATGATGTCACAATGGGCCGTTAACTCACACACCCATACAAACTCACGCACGGAGCCCAATGTCTCACATGCTCTCAGCCTAATGCTCAGCAGTGTCAGCACACATAATGATTTTTTTTAAGTGGAACTGCTTTTAAGGTGGAATCGCACTTAGCTAGCACAAGAACTAATTCACCACCATACTGACCCGCACTCCTCTTTGGGTCATTTTTTCATCCCTCGTTCCTCTCATTAAGTCCCATTCATTGTCGCCACCTCTCA